TGTATATATATATATATATATATATATATATATATATAGAATATATTTTAATGAAAGATATTTTTTGTAAAAAAACATTTATAAAATCAGGAATATTATTGTAATAAAACATGAAAATCTTTAATTTCTCGGAATCATGTATAAATATTTCCAAAAAGTTTTATAAGTAATCAAAAATATTTTAATTATTTTCAAGAATCATGATTTCCTAGATTTGTAATTCGTAGGAATCATGATTATTAGGCATGAAAAAACTTCTCCCCTACCAGACATCCCCTAAAAGTAAGTTTTGATAGACTTATTTCAATCAATAGCTCATGTTTTAAATCAAATTTTATCAATATTCATCTGTTAGTTAAATGAAATGTTCTTAATGTAAAGAGCAAGTCTACAATTTTTTTTTAAAAAAAACTTATTTGATACTTCGTTTCATTAATTCAAATTGATGGATAATCATAAAAATATTTTATACATTGATTTGAATTTACAAAATGAAATGTCATATGATTTTTAAATATTTTAAAAATTTGTAAATTTGATTTATACTTTAAATTTTTTTAATTGAATGGTTGAATTTTTTAAATTTGATGTAGAACCTAAATTATTGAGTAGAAAAAGTCTACCAAAAATTACTTTTAGAATAAGTGGCTCTCTTATATATATATATATATGTGTATATATGTATATAAACACATAGAGAAGAAGAACTTTTTTATCCACCAGAGTTGTCTAATGACAACACCAAAGTTCAAACATAAAACGTTGCACGAACTATCCCAACCTTCTGCCATGAAGGCAACTTTAGTTGTTTCAAGAAGAAGAAATCTAGTAACACATTTCTAATATTTTTTTTAATATACTTTTTATTACTGGTTAAAATTTATTAGAAATTATAAAATCATCTTAATTTTATTAAAGAAGTGTAGCTTGCAATAATTGTTTTACTTTCAATAATTTTTATTCAATAACAGAATATATTTAAAAAAGACGTGTAATTAGTATTTTTACATAAATAAATGAGGAAATATCCACTAATTTCGAGAGTAAGTCTTGGTAGATTTATTCCACTCAATAACTCATGTTCACTACAACAAAAATTGTTTTTAACGACAATTGTTTAATAGCAATAATTTAATTGCCGCTATTTAATTATATAATAAAAATATTAATGGCTAATATATAATAGCCACTAAAAGTGTATTTATATTACACTAAAGTTTACTATTAGCGACAATTATTTATTGAAAAAACTAGTCCCACATCGATTAGAGATAATATAATTAAATAGTATATAAGTGAGTAATAACTATCATCTTATAAGTTGATTTATAGGGTTGAGTTAGACTCTTAATTCACTATAATAAATTAGTATCAAATCACCACTATTACCAAGTTTAATAGTGTTATAAAACAATTAGAGAGCAACTTTCACCTTATAAATCTCACATCTCTTAAGAGATAAGACAAGTAAAAAAATAAATTAAAAAATATATAAATAGAAGACAACCCTCATCTTACAAATCTCACATCGACTAGAGATAAAAAAAAGAGTATATAAGATGAATTTAGAAAAGAAAATTATACGAATAAATTATTTAAAGTTTTACTAGCAAAAGATAAAAGTCACTAAATGGATGGAAATGAGACAATTGAAAAAATAACTTTTAATAGCCTTTAAAATGGCTACTAAAATTGCTACTAAAATAAATAAGTTTTCCCGACAATTTAGTAGGTCTTTACCAGCATTTTATATAAATGCCGGTAATAGTATTAGCGACACTGGATATACCAGCCATTATTTAAATGCTGGTAAAAAAAATAATGACCATTTATATGGTCACTAAATAATAAATTAATTGTCACAAAAACCTAATTTTGGTGTAGTGTGTTCTAACTCAAATTTTAATTATCTAACCATTGAGTTAAAATTTCTTAATGCATAGATTAACTTTACAAATTCAAAAAAAAAAAAATATCATATGATACTTCATTATATAAATGTATAAAATATTTGTATGATTATTCGTCAATTTAAATTATAGAAACATAGTATTAAACAATTTTCAAATTTTAATTATAAAAAAACTTTGACTCTATTTATGTATTAAAAAATTTTAATTCAATGATTGGATTATAAAACTTTGATGTAAAACATGAATTATTGAGTAAAATAAATCTACTAAGACTTATATATCTAAGTGTATATATATATAGAGAGAGAGAGAGAAATTTTGTTGTTGAGTGTAGGG